ATGAGGCCGCCTACAGGGAGGAGGTGGACCGTCTGGCTGAGTGGTGCGACAAAAACAATCTGCAGCTGAACACAGAGAAGACCAAGGAGCTCATTGTGGACTTCAGGAGGAACGCTGACCTACACCCACCCATCCACATCAAGGGGACAGAGGTGGAGCGTGTGGACAGCTTTAAGTTCCTGGGGGTCCACATCTCCGAGGACCTGATCTGGACGACCAGCTGCTCCAAACTCATCAAGAAGGCACACCAGCACCTCTTCTTCATGAGGACCCTGAGGAAGAACCATCTGTCCTCAGAGATTATCACAAACTTCTACCGCTGCACCATCGAGAGCATCCTCACCAACTGTATTACAGTTTGGTATGGGAACTGCTCTGTCTCTGACCAGAAGGCGCTGCAGAGGGTGGTGAAAACTGCCCAGCACATCGCCAGGCCACCGCTCCCTGCCATCAAGGACATCTACAGGAAGAGGTGTCTGAAAAGGGCTGGGAAAATCACCAAGGACCTCACTCACCCCACACATGCACTCTTCTCCCTCCTGCTCTCTGGGAGGCGTTATATGAGCCTACGGACCAGAACCTCCAGGCATCGGAACAGCTTCTTTCCTACAGCTGTTAGGCTCCTGAACGCCTCCTGACACAACTATAAGGACTGTAACCCCCAAACCCCCATACAACAATAACATACGGACTGTCCTCACATTCATACATAATCTGTAAATCTTATTTGCCAGTATCTATCTTGTATTGTAAATCTATTAATACATATACAATCCATTCTTAACATTTCTGTATAATCTGTATATGTGCATAGCTCCCATATTTTTATCTATATTATATTTATACTGAACATTTTATTTTTATAACCACCTTTGTACACCTGTAAATATTTATACCCTGTATAGCACTTTTGGATAGATGCTAACTACATTTTGTTGCTTGTACTTGTGACGGTGCAATGACAATAAAGTTGAATTCTATTCTATTCTAAGATTTTTTTTTTTTTTTTACAATATTCAGTATTTCTTCTTTATCAGTTTCATCAAGAGAAATACTATTAGAACAACCAGTAACTGTATGCTTCACATTATTATCTACTTTTGGTAATTTAGCATCAAGACTTGGGTCAACAGGTACAAAAATGTATTAAATCAAGTTACAGTTTAATTCCCATCATAAATCTAATTTCCATCCTGTACAAAATATTGTGGGATTCCTGAGTTTACTTTGATTTTTCAGAACACGATTTATTACTCTCCATTTTGCTTTCATATCACCATTACTTTTGTTTAATAAATCACTGTAATAATCCCTTTTATGTTTTCTTATAATCCATACCACTTTATTTTTATGCTTCTTGTATCTCTCTTCTGCTTATTTGTTCTCAATTTCAAGAAGCATGAGTACAAGTAAGCATTTTTACAAGCATTTTTCAAACCTTTTGTCATCCATAATTTATCACCATTTCTCTGTGTGTAATTTCTTTTGCACACATTTTCACACACAACTCCCAAAATATTCATAAATACTTCATATGCCCTGTTTACATCATTAACATTCACATCCTTCCTGTTTAGTTTATTTAAATCATCTGAATTTATCCAGAGCTTCTTTTAAATGTTTATTTTATTTTTTGCTGTAAATACTTTCGTATTGCATTGATGCATTTTGTAAGTTGTGAACACTGGTAAGTGAGGCCAATTTAAATCATGCCATCATGGAGAGCAAGAAATGCCTACAGTCAGAAGATCTGAGGTTTCTTTCATGATCCCAGCAACACCAGACAACTGTGGCATCCAATCTGTCACTGACTATAAAACCACATCTTCATCCTGCCAAGGTGACATTAGGTTCCTTAATGATCTTAACTTCTTTGGAAGATTTGAAGCTCTAAATAAAACCCCTAACTGCTCAACTAAAGATGCCATCTCCACTGCTCTTCATCTGAGCCTGGTACACCTGGAGAAAAGAAACACCCACATAAAGATGCTGTTTTTGGACTTCAGCTCAGCATTTAATATAATCATCCCTGAGGATTTGGTATGCAAACCAGTGGAGTGTTGTGTAGCTGGACTGGTGCAGAATAAACAACCTGCTCCTGAAGGTCAACAAGACAAAAGAGATCATTGTCGACTTCAGCAGATCTCGACCCAACCACACCTGTCCTCATCGACGACAGAGCAGTGGAGATCGTCAGCAGCGCTAAGTTCCTGGGCTTCACATTACAGACGCCCTCAGCTGGACACCTCGCATCACCTCACTGGTGAAAAAGACACAGCAGTGTCTGCACTTTCTGAGACGAATGAGAAGAGCTGCCCTCCTCCTCCCATCCTCTCCACCTTCTACAGAGGAACCACTGAGATCCTGCTGACCAGCAGAACCTCCATCTGGTCTGGGAGCTGCAAGGCCTCAGACTGGAAGTCTCTGTGAAGAGAGGTGAAGACAGCAGAGAGGGTCATTGGGGCTCCACTCCCCCCTAACCATTACAGACAGACGGTGCTCAGCCAGAGTAAACCAGATCATCTCTGATTCCACCCATCCTCTCCATGGTCTGTTCATCCAGTTGCCGTCTGGAAGGAGATTCCATCTGCTGTAGAACAGCCAGACTCAGAGACAGTTAGATTAAAGTTATATGTAACTAGCAATATAATATTATTTGTATATTTTTATACTTATAGGGCACACTTGTGAATCTTTTTTTTTTTTTTGCATATGTCTGCTCTAGTGATGCCATTTTGTTGCCAATTTCACTGCTATATCTTTGTGCAATAATAAAATAAGCCTAAGGAAATTGGAGCTGTAACATCATTGTGAATAAATAGTTGTCTTTGGTTCACTTTCTACTCAAAAGGTTCTTGGGTGCATGATTTGAACAGCCTAGGTTTATCAGATCAAAAGTTTTTTTCCTCTGGGGCAGATAGGGTTGATTGGATGGTTTTCTGGAACTCAGCCCTGTGTTCTCACATGTTAGCAGACACTGAGGTAGTCCAGTATCTACTGGGACATATGGTGGTCCAGTGCTGACGGCTCCAGCTTATCCCTCTGAAATCCTGGCTGCATGTGTTATGGTACAATGCTCGGCTCTCTACATACTGCAGACTCAGAATTAGACTTCCACAGGTATTAGTTTTAGCAAAGCAAATTAAACTGCTTCTGTCTGCTCAACATTCAGTAATTCTATTATTATTATTTATTCTACTGGATCTGAAACCATAAAGATGTGCCATTAATTACAACAATGTAGATTAAGAGATATGTTTGATATATTTATGAATGTACATACTGAAGCCATGATTTCATCCTGTGACACAATTAAAATTATGAATTTTGTTTTAAAACATGTATTGAACCTCTTTTCTGCTTTCACATCCAGATTTGAGGACATCATCTCCAAAAGTGATCAAGTCGATTCAGGATCTCCTTCTGTTTACCAGCTGAGAACAAAGAAACAGAAGAGTGGATCTCTGACTCTAACTGTTGGTGAAAAACAAGAGACCAAACCAAATAAAACCATCTTACTAGTTGGTGAAACAGCAACAGGAAAATCTACTCTGGTCAACGCTCTGTTCAACTACGCTGTGGGAGTGAAGTTTGGGGATGATGTCTGGTTTCAGCTTGTAGAGGATCAGACAGGAAGTCAGACATCAGATGTGATCGTCTATCAGATCTTTGGTTTTGAGGATCAAACTCTGCCGTTCTCTCTGACCATCATTGATACGCCTGCATTTGGAGACACACAAGATCCTGATCATATCAGGACCAACCAGCGATTAATGGAGTTATTCCAATCAGCTGATGGGATCCAGGAAGTTCATGCAGTAGGTCTGGTGATGAAGGACGAGGAGAATCCAGTCACTGACCAACTGAAGAACATCTATGATTTCATCAAGTCTCAGTTTGGAAAAGATGTGAAGAAAAACATCATAGCTCTGATGACAAACTCACAGGGAAAACCACCTAGAAAAGTTCTTCAAGCTCTTGAAGCTGCAAACATTAAATGTGCCAAAAATGAGAAGAATCAACCATGTATCATCCAGTTTGATAACTGCCAGGATGAGGAGAGAACAGAAGAATCTGAATTATCTATAGAAAATGCTTGGAAAGTAACAGAAAGAGGAATGAAACAGTTCATAGCCTTTCTGGAAAAATCTCCACCTCTCCAGCCTGAAGTTATATTGGAACATCATAAAGAACGGATCAGACTGACAGCCTGCATCCAGAACCTGCTGGAGAGAATCAGGTTCACTGAGTTAAAAATGAGAGATGTTGAACGAACTCAAGAAGCTCTTAGGATTAACAATCAGAAGATGAAAAGGGATAAAAGCTTTAATGTATCTATCCCTGAGGCCTACAAAGACCTGCAGCCTCCTAGAGATGGAAGATGTAGTTATGAAACATCTCTCTGCTGTCCTGTTTGTAAGGAGAACTGTCACTATCCTGGATGCACAAAGGCTTTAAATCCTGAACAGTGTGAAGTGATGATAGATGGAAAATGTACTTCATGCACCAACAAGTGTCCTGCATCAGATCATGTTAAACAAAATCGGCAATGTGTGATCAGGACCAACAAGGTTGAGAAGACTAAAGAAGCTTTAAAAAAACAATATAAACAGGAATCAAGACAGAAAATGAAGCTTTCAGAAAGACTTGAAAAGGAGAAAACAAAACTGAAAGAAGGCAAAATTGATAAATGAAGTATATGCATATTTTATCAAACTGCATCAGTCAGCCAAGGATGACAATTCAATTAACAACTCAGCATCCACTTTTGTCATTTTGGACTTCCTTATCAAGAAGATGAAGAGGGAAGGGAATGGAGAAAAACTGCAGAAACTGGAGGAAATATGCAGCCAAATGGATCCTGGAATCAGAACTCAACTCAGGTAGGTACTTTCAAAATAAAACTCTTCTAAGTTATGTTGTTTATGTTAGGATTTTGGTTCAAAGTGTCTTTGAGTGTCCTAAAAAGTGCTATATAAATTTGATGCATTATTATTATCGATGATGATGATGATGATGATGTAATTCTGCAGATTGTTCTTCTTTTATCAGTGGTTTGATAACTTATGGAGGACCAAAACCGATATAATAAGAAATAAAAGCAGAAATATATATTTAGTTTTTCCTTTCCCTTACATGAGTTTCTGTCAAGTAATGTAAATATTTTCTTTTTTATTTCCCCTAAACATGCGTTTTTGTCAAGAAAAATAGATATTTTGCTTTGTCTGTTTTTGCTTCTCCCTTTTCTGCTCGCTGTATTTCTGCTTGCTGTATTTCCATTTGCTGTTTTTCTGCTGCATCGTTATGTTAATGAGGAGAGCTGCCTTCTATGTCTGCTATTGGCCAATAGAGCCTGGGAACCAACGTCACTGCGTCAGACGTTGTGGGGCGTTTAGGTCCAGTCGCTCGGCGCCATCTTTACAGGCCACAGACCAAAACAAACTTTATCCCGGTGGTTTTATTGTTACCGATTGCAGTGAAGTAAAGCTGGAGAACGGCTGGCCGAAATTAGCGCTCATAAATCGGATCAACCTTGAGCTAAACGCCGCTTACTCGGCGGATATTGGAAAATCCAATATCCAACTCGAAACCAACTTCACTGCAGTCGCGCCAATTGTGAAATTGTGAAATGAACAATGCACGTGTTCACTAGTTCAGCCAAGTCCGTCACAAGTTTGTCAATCCAGGAATCCACCAGCTCCAAACAGCAGAAATCCTGTTATCATGAATAAATCCAGGGTGAATCCTGCTGGGTGTGTCCCCGCAGGACAAGAGGCTCTCTTGTGCCCAGACTTCTCATCGAGAAAATTTGATCAATTGCATTGAGAGATCAGTTGACCAGATCCATAATTTGTAGATTCAGAGGATGTGCAAAGAAAGGCTGCAAAAAAACAGCAACAAAAGCAACAAAAAAACAGAGCAAGCAGGGTGAGGAAAAAAATGTCCACCTTCACCGAGAGCTAGAGAAAGTCCAGATAATACCAACTCACTTTTACTTTGGCAACCCAGAAAAGGGATTAGAACAAACTGAGAATCCAGAAAAACTTCCTGAGCAACTCAGAACAGGAATAGATGATCAATATTAGATTCTTTTTCTTCTGTTGCACTTTCCTTTGGTTTGTTATTTTGTTTGTATTTTCATTTTAATTCATGTAGAGAACATTGTGTTGCCTTGTTGCTGAAAATGAGCTATATAAATAAAAAGTTTGAATTCATTTTGTTTGAAATTTTAATAAATCATAATTTGTTCTGTTTTTCTGCAGGGAGAGAATAACCTCATCTATTCAGGAGGCTTTAATCTCAGAAAGTGTTCAGACCCATAAAGGCCCTCCTGCTGTCTACCAGGTGATACCAAAGAAAGAGACAATAGGAACTCTGAGCAAAGTGACGATTGGAGAGAAAGATGAGATGAAGATCAATAAAACCATCTTACTGGTTGGAGAAACAGAAACAGGAAAATCTACTCTGATCAACACTCTGTTCAACTACGCTGTGGGAGTGAAGTTTGAGGATAAATTCTGGTTTCAGATTGTAGAAGAAGAGAAGGAGGAGGGAACCCATCAATCACAAAGTCAGACATCAGATGTGATCGTCTATCAGATCTTTGGTTTTGAAGGTCAAATTCTGCCGTTCTCTCTGACCATCATCAATACGCCTGGATTTGGAAGCACCAGAGGAATTGAAGAAGATGACATAGTTAGTCAAAGATTGTTTGACTTGTTTCGATCAGAGGATGGAGTTCATCAGATCAATGCAGTGGGTCTGGTGGTGAAGGCCAGTGATTACAGACTGAGTGACCGACTGAGGTACATCTTTGACTCAGTGATGTCTCTGTTTGGAAAAGACCTGAAGAGAAACATTGTGGCTTTGATCACTCACTCTGATGGACGAAGACCTGAAAATGTCCTTCAGGCTCTGGAAGATGCAAAGATTAAATGTTCCAAAGATGAGATGAATCAGCCTGTTCACTTCCTGTTTAATAACCAACAGAAGCAACAGGGAAACACATCAGAGAAAGATAAAGTTGGTTCAAAATACTCCTGGGACTTTACAAATGAAGAAATGTGTCATTTGAGAGACTTTATGAAAAACACCAAACCTCAGCTACTGGAAACAACAGTGGAGGTTCTGAATGAACGGATCAGACTGAAGGCCTGCATCCAGAACCTGAAGGAGAGAATCGAGCTGAATGAACAGAAACAGGAAGATGAGATGGAGAGGGATATAAACTTCAGTATGGAAGTTGATGAGGTCTACAAGGAAAAAGAACCAATCAGAGGAGGGAAGTGGGGGTTGGTGTTTTTAGAAGGAGCTGTCACCTGTTCAGTCTGTGAGGAAAACTGTCACTATCCTGGATGTACAATGGCCCAGAAACCAGCACACTGTGAGGTCATCAAGAATGGTCACTGCACAGTTTGTACCAACAAGTGTCCTGCATCAGTTCATGTCAAAGAAAACTGGAGTTATGTGACAAAGACCAGAAAAGTTCAGAAAACCCTGGAGGCTGTGAAGGAGAAATATGATCAGAATAAAGCAGAATGTGAGAACAAATCAACTCTTTTGGAAAACCTTGAAAAGGAAACCAACAATCTGACAGTAGAAAGGTCGGAGCTGCTGGATGAGGCCTACAGTCATGTTATCAGACTGGAGCAGATCGCCCTGAAAGTCGACTCAGTGTCCACTTTGGTCCATCTGGACTTCCTGATTGAGAAGATGAAGGAAAAAGGAGACCAGGAGAAGGTCAAGAAACTGGAGAAGATGAAGATCAGGATAGAGAAATAAACTGAAGGTTAAACCCAACAGCAGAAAGTTGGGAAAATGTTTAAGGAAACTCTGAAAATAAAGCAATAAGGAGTTTTATTTTAACCCCTGTTTGAGCTAAACATGATGCATCATCATCGGTTAAAGCTTAGAGAATATTTTACATTGCAAATATTTATTACTGTAAACCCCAAATTTGATATCCGATAATTTTTTGCAACATATATCATTTCATTTATTAATCAAATTCTTAAAAACTAAGAAACTCAATTACAATTTAAAAAATATCTTTCTTGTTTTAACAAGGCTTCCCCATGGTAGTAGATTAAATGACCTCAAATTAAGGCCAGTACGAAGTAACTGAAGATGGTAAAAGTAAACTTTTCATCACCCTTTCAAAAATATTTTTAATTTTCCGTTGATGCTCATTTCTTGTTTTACGTTCATTTAACTAAAATCTGTATAAAAATTATAACTACTGGCATTGGCAGGCCCTAGACTCCGTTCTGCTGTGGGCATGCATGCGCAGTGTTGGAACCACCTAATGTGTCATTTTTGTGATGATCCGTGTTTCTGTGTATTTATTTTAAGGTTTTTCTGTGTTCAGTTTCTGTCCTGTGAGTCTCTGTGTCCTCCCCGTTGATTGGTCCCAACTGTGTCTCATTCCCTGACTACCCTCCCAGTGTATTTAGTCCCACCTGTTGTCCGTGTTCCTCGTCAGGTTCTTGTCGTTTGCACGTCCGTCTTACGTCAGTTGTTGTTTGCCGTCTATGCGCTCCAGTAGAACTGTGAAGTCCTGGATAGCGTTAGCTCTCGTTTCCAGTCCTGTGTATCAGTCAGAGGCGGAGCCAGAGGGGGGCTGATGACAGGGGGGCCCAGTGCCCTCCCTGTCATCTGATTGGCCCCCCCAGATGATTAACATGTAACAGCACCAGGTCATTCCTGTACATTATTTGGAATCATTCTAAGCCAACCTAATATCTAAAGAAGAAAAACAATAATAAATATATGAAAAGAAAATGTATAAAACTTTATATAAGTCCATGTGATGACATAAATAAATAGATTTACATCAGGCGCGATACCAGCCTCCTTTATACTTGTACTCATAAAAACGAGCTGACATTGTTCTCCTGTATGTTTCAAATGTGCTGCGCTGTGGTGCAACTCAAAGGCTAAAGCCCTTCAAACCTGGTGGTTCTAAAACACCAAGAAGTTATTTACTGATCCTCCACACAAAAAAAAAAACAAACAAAAAAAACGAAGAGGGCCGACAATGTTCGTAGTTTGGAGCAGAGGTTGCGCTGGAGATTTTTCGTTGTCCGTCAAAGAAAAAAATAATTTTATTTCCAATTTGTAGTCATCAAACGAAACATTTAGTATTTCTCTGCGAGACCGTTTTTGAAATCAGGTAACATTTCACGAAATGACGTGATTAGAAGACGGCAGAACTCTGATCGTTTCCTGATCACTTCCTTCGGCCTGCGGGAGAAAAATCCCGCAGAAGCGGATCAGCTGCGCTACACGCTCCAAAGCCTCTGGTTCGTTACAGCGTCCAGATCAGAGGTGATTCTCTGACAGAAATTGTTCTTAGTGTGATTAATAATGAGCTCCACGATGTTCTCTGTTCTCTGTGCGTAAAGTTGGAACTGCCTGCACACCAAGTGTCAGCTTGATCACAGTCTGGACAGAAATGAAATTAAGCGACTCCACTTAAATTACCATTAATTCACCCGCTGCGGTCTGAACGCACAGCTTCACAAATTCTTCCTGGTCGCATCTGCAGAGAAATCTGCGCTGGTTCATCGACATTTGGATCTGTATGAACCAAACCGAACAATTGAACTCTGCCAGATTTTTTTTCTTTTTTTTCTTTCTTTTTAACCCTGTGCAGGGTTCGGGCGTGCGTTTTTACCAGGATTTTTTATTTTTATTTTTTGCATGGTTTCGCTTCTCCAAAACGGACAGATGTTACGTCTGCCGCACTCCTTCTGGGTGCGGGAGGGTAACATCTTCTGCACCTTTATTTATTTCCTCAAAACAAACTGATGGCTCCTCTGTTTAGACTATAAATGGATTAAAACAACGTTGCATTGTCTTTAGTTTTCTCTGTTCTGTACTGGAGACTGGAGTTAAAGGCGCCATTTCAACTAAAGATTTGCAATGAGATTCCTAACCAAGGTGTCCTGTCCATCACTCTTCAACACGCTGTCAGCTCCCGGTCAGAAAGACGCATTTAGTTCAGTGTCCATGAGATGATATTCAGAAAGGATTTTTATTGAATGATTTTAGTTG